CAGTCGGTTGTAATAGAGTATCGGTAACTAATCTACGAAGCCGCTGCGCAACCGGGTAAAATTTCAATAGAAACTGGTACACCAAGGCATCCTCATAGTTCTGCTACATACCATAGGTAGGTCACAAATTCAAAACTAAATTTGGCCAGTTCCTGGGGGCGCAAGTGGCACATTGGCGTCTAATTCACCTAAAGAACTCGTCGCTTCTGCCCAACCGATTAGAAGCGTTAAACTTATAATAAAACTTCTTCATCGCTCGAGTGCTCGGGATTAAGCCTACAGAGGTCACGTTATTGTGCTCCAGCGGAAAATAGATGACCTACGTGGGCCATTGCACTCCGGTTACCAAAACTATCTCGGTGGATATTTTCAACTGTCAGCATGCTAAATGGTAGAATGCCTCTTGGCAGCATGAGGACTGCAGTTGATTGAGTCATATACAATAACTGCAAACAAAGAAGGCGTGGTGGTGCCTCAGGTGTCAGTTTTAGTCAATGAGTACTTAATACTAGAGGAAAACAGCAAGAAGAGATGTCTTTGTGTAGCTGCATCTAACATCTCACAGGTACAATGACCTATTAGGTTAGAGAGCATTAGCGATAACACCGAGCAAACTTTTGTCCAAGAAATTCTTGAATTTGGACACCGAAATTGCCTCGACTTCATTCGGTAGAAAGTTTAAATATTCACCACTCCCCATTCGAAACATTTGGTGGACAACCCGTTTCAAACTCGGTATACAAGCTCGTACTGGTGTCCTCGTGTGCTGCTTGGCGTGCGCAAGTCAAGCAGCAGCCTCAACGTAGGGTGATCATTGGGCTCTAATTCCGGTGCGTCATGAGGAGGTAAACTTGCAGTCGATGATAAGATTGTGGACTTTTAGCCTAATGCACATATCCTTAAGTCGGGGATGAGGCTGGTGGCCATATGGAGTACCCGCTCAGTCACTTGTATCTCGCCCCAGGTGATAGGACGGAATACGGGCGAGCCGTACACTAGCATTAGGCTTATGGATAAGACGAAGTGGAGAGTGGCAGTCGCTTCGAAACAAGTGATGAAGCTGCCCTTAAGTGTCCAAATAAATGAAGTCCGTTTTGATAAATCTTGTTCGTGTTGTCCATGGAATTTAGGTCGTGGCGTGAGAGTGTGTAAAGCTCTAACGAAAGGTGCAAGAGGCCACGGTGTACCGGCTACAGTGTAGGTCTGACTGTGCTCACCTTTACCAAGCCTTATGTATAGAGACTAGACCGGGTTTATCGGAAGGTTGACCTCCGAAGACTAAATGGAGAGGTGTTCGAGGTCCTGCTGAAACCGGCCACAGTCATCGGGTGCAATGCCTTCACACTTTCAATTCATCTGTAAACAACGTACAAGGCGAACGGAGAAGCCAAAGCTGTGGATCAGGAACAAAATAAGCCGCAGCAGCTCCTTGGGGTATTCCACTGCTTGAGGGATACAGGTCAGTCAGACAGCTGTTGACTTGGATCGTCCACTTTCAACCAACGAGAAAATTCCTGGTACTCCGGAGCAGCGTGCTGCCAACAAAGTACACCCTCAGCCTGTGGAGCAGCACTTCATGATTCACCATATCAAAAGCCTTCCTAAGTCAATGTAAATGATGTCGACGGACTTCCCTTGGTTCGGCACTTGCGACCATTCGTGCATCGTAAGCACCAGGTTGGTGACGCATGAGCGACCTTACACGAGATCATGATGTGGAGGCATCAAGAGACTTTTGGACTGGAAAAGCTACGGAAGACCCTACTCCACCAATGCCTCTGCCAAAACAGCGGCCATGGAAATGGACCGGTAGTTTTGCGCTTTGCTTGAGTCATTACCTCTCAGTATTGGCTTTATGATTGAGCCTTTCCAGTCGCTTAGTAATGGACCTGTTGAAAAGCTGAGTCACGGAAGTCTAGATGATGGCCAACAATGACTTGAGGGTCCGCGATTGGATTATCGCTGGCCCGGCAGGCTTGATTCCAACAAGACTGGTCAGAATTTTGCGTACATCCTCTATGCTGCAATCCAGTCAGTCTAGTCGATAGGGTGGTGCCCGTCGAACTCGGTATATACACGTGGTCACTTTCAAACACAAAAGGAAGCGCTATCCCTGCGAACGCCAGATCCAGGTTTGGGATTAGGGGCTGTGCATTTGAGCACTTCAATACTGGCACATTGCCTCCATGAATCATACGCAGCTTCATGTAGGCAAAGATCTTCTTGGGAGCAAGTTTTGCTGCAGCTACAAGCTGCCTTTCGGCGCTTTTGTGTTTCTGCGTTGATGCAGAGTGTTCACATCCTAATATTCCTGGTGATCTTCGTCAGAGCCATGCAACACGAAGTTGTTCCATAGTCTGTTGAGCCAGTTTTCTGTACTCTTTGTCTAAACGATGTGACATCAGTGGCCTAGCTTTCTGACACTTGAGGGGACATATAGGGCGCTCATCGATAATACTCCCTCTTAGATGGTGGCAGCCCAAAAGTTTTCTACAAATGAATCCTTTTCCAAGATAAAACGGCGACAAAATCAAGAGGACGGAGAGTGAAAATGGGTCGATCATTTGCACAGATAATAGGCCAGTAAATACGAACAGTCATGATTCGAGGCAGGCTAGTGTGTGGTGGCATTATTTCTGTCGTTCCAAGGGATTTTGCAACAAATCCGATTGGGTATGCTCATTCCAGTCGGATTACAAATATGTATTCCTTACTCCCTAATTTTCGGAAACAATCATCGCAGCTTCACAAAATCCCACGGTATTAGTTTTCGCACATTCACAGTGGGAACTCACACGCATGGAAGTGACTTATTTCACCAACACAGCCTTAGTTGTACTTAACTCCTAAAGACAACGATGATGATCACCCAGCAATCAAACCATACATATATATATATGTATATATATCAGCGACCTTCACAGAATCCAAAGCTTCGGCGATCACGCCGTTGGGAAAAGTTGGCCATTTCATTCCGTTGATACAATCCTCGCAAAATAATGTAGCAGGACTTCCACCATTTTACCAACGGGTTTGTTTGAAGCGGCTTCATATTGCGGTGATTTTCACCTCTTAAATATGCATAGCCTAGAGCTAACTGCAGAGATGAGACCAAATTATACTACGACCATGTCTATCTGATACCAACAACCAAACAAGCATCCAGCTGTTTAGCGCGATATTTAGAACATGTAGCAGCCAACATCAATCTGTTTCTGGTATGATCCACTATCCCAAATAGCAAAAGTTCATATGAATATAACTGACTGCCCACATAAGAATTGACATCGAAATCGGTTCACACAAAGTGATCTAATGGGTTAGCTCTATTTCCCTATAACCAGTAATGACCGTATGGCACAACGGCGGTCTAAGATATTTTAAAACATTGGGAGAAGGCTGAAAATGTAGAGCGTTGTGGATTGCCATCGCAAGTGGACAATGGCCCATTAAGTGGCTTAGTTAAAATGGACCCCTGTAAAAAGGTGCTTACTTCTGACTTGGCAGCATTACCTGTGACAATTCATAACATTTCAGCGACGATTCAAATATCGAACATTTTGATTAATGGGTGCCCCACCAACTGAATAGAAATTAAAGTACTCCTAGATTTGTACTGTCGTCCGCTCTTGTTCTGTGTAACAAAACCACTCGTGAAGTGCAAAGCAAATCACATCTTTACGACAAACGACGGCGCGTTGCTCAATAGTTAGACCATGATAAATCTCCACAATTCCCAGAGCCACAACAACATCCTAAAATGATTGTGGTGCATGATTGGTGGTTTAGAGGAGATCTTATCCATCGCAGCTTACTGAATCTGATACCGTGAAGAAGTATTGTCATCAAATTGCCAGAATACACCAAAAACTTAACATGTGTCTGCGACTGGTCATCCGAAAGGTCTAGTTATTCTACAAGATAAGGCTCGGTCGCACGTCGTACAACCAACTACGAAATCTACCTGAGCTGTGCCGCGAAAGTAGGCTTCACCCAATTTTCTCCCCCGATCTCTGGCCAACCGATTATTACGTTTTCAAGATTTTGGATGCATTCCTCAAACAGCAATATTACAAAAAGCAAGGAGATGCTGAAACCTCACTTGACTGGTTCATCGCCACCAAGACCCCGATATTTTAATCATCCGGAACAAATAGACTTGTTTCCTGTTGGTAAAAGCGGGTCATTTAAAAAGGCTTTTATTTAAATTTAAAGTTTTGTTTTTAAGCTCAGATAGATGTGTTCAAATTTCAAGATTAAAAACGCAACTAATATATTAACGATATAATATCTTTGCTGACGGTTATCCTTGAAATTTCGTAGTCAAATATAGCATTTACTGAAAAATTAGAGGCCTGCCGCTATTAAACAGCCAATACCAACTAGTGTTGATCAAAATGAAGTACTGTATTTAAAATTTCGACGAAATCTCCAACACAATGACGTACGGTTAGGTGCAAATGAGTTTCGCAGCCGATTATCCTGACTAGATGGATGCGTCATTATTAACGGTGCGTTTCTCTACTTGATTTTTGGGCTATGAGAAGGAGAGGGTACTTTAACCTAAAGCGTCACAAAGCAGTTGATTTCGGGGCCAATATTTAATCTCCAATATCTGATGTCATTCTTCATTGCTCTCCCTACTAAATGACCTAATCTCAGGTTGCATCACCCCCGACCCATTTTCTTTCTGTTGGTTATATTTCCGGTGTTTATATGCTGGGTGCTCACTCCCCATCTTTGTATGGGGTGATAATCTGATTAGTGGAACAGAAATACATCCACGGTAAATATGACAAACAAACTATTAGCAAATGACATACCGATAGCGTTGCTGTATGATTGCAATAATTGCTAGTGCAATGTTGGATAAGGTCGTTGCAAGGTTGCTAGCTGACAATAAAATTTTTAATTGCTTCGTGTTGGTTAACTACGTCTTTCCAATGTAGAAAGATATATATGCATATGTATAGATATACACTTCAAAATAATTCGTTTACCTTTTTCTGACAATAATCTAAAAATGTGTAGGCGACAGAACCGCGGGGGACTTTCGAGGGAGGATTTCGTTTGTTTATCTCGCCCGGACTTGACAGGGTGCAGTGAAAAACCAACTTTTGTGTGCATAGGCCGAAGCTGGCGGACTGCAAGTATGAGGCATCTGTCAAAGCAAACGGGCCCATCAACGCTTAGATGTTAATAGCAGACGCATCAACAAAGCGTATGTGGGCTAATAAATAAAAGAGGGACGGATATACAAGTCAAAAAGTCGCCTAATTGAAGCATATTTGTACTTGAATATGACAATGATGACTCATTTTTTCGGTGTGCAAAGAACGTCGGTCCGGGTGCTGGTATTCCCTCGAAGAGAGAGAAGAGATATGCACTTCTGCAGTTGACGGTCGCATGATTGAAACGATGTAGTCAATCCAGGGATCTGTCAGACGAGCAGGATTGTACCATATATTCTGCTATGTTGTTCCTCCGTATTCGGTGAACACAGCAATTTTGTTGCAAACGCTTCTCAACTATCCGAGATGACTTCGTCCGCTCAATGCGACATACAGTAACTCCTTGATCAGTTGGGCAAAGCTTAGGCTAGTATTATGAATTTCTTGTCCAAAATGTTTACAGCTGTATTTCAGTAGGCACAATTCAGTAGCTTGGAATAAATTTGAAACTAACGCGGAATTTATAAGTACGGATTGTTTCAACATACTAATTAGTATTGCAGATAGTGGTCGCTCGACACAACAGCTTCTTCAGGCCAGGTCCAAATGAACAATACAAAATGTTTCGTTAAAGGTGGCTAAGTGAAGACAAGCTTTCATATTTATTCTGAGATTAGCAACTGTGCGCCTAAACAGTTTGTAAAATGTATCGAACATCTAGCTTGGCACCTGCGGAACTGTCGATGCATCATGTTTTACTCGGAACTACTGATGCACTCGCTTCACCATTTGGGATGTTTCGCTCCCCTGTTGAAGAAAAATCATTTGGAAATAAAGAAATGCGTCGTGCAGAAGGATAGGGGAGTCGTTATTAAATGGCTTAAGTAGTGCGAGGACTGTTATTACTCGTGCATGACACTATTTTTCTTACCCGATTTTGGTCACAAATTCATCAGCCTATTTATGTTAGTTTAAATTTCCAAAGCCGCGGTGCATGTGCACATTTTCTATGCAAAAACGTCTCATGAAATTGCATGTTCTCGCTTGAGCAAAGTGACCCATTCACTTTAAAGTCTTGAGCTTTTGTTGATTAAGGAAGTCAAAGAGCCGGAATTTTTTCTTTTGCGAGCACACAGCTTATTGAAACAATCAAACAAAAGATGTTTTGGCCGTCACAAGTTTACTTTGCAATATTAATTGGTCCGGGTGGCACTGAACACGTATTGGATCCACGTGAACGGAGCTTCTAATAACTCCGTCACGTTGATGCAGTTAAAGTAAGCAGTGCCCATGCACCCGTGCCGGGCGCTTTGATTGATGTACATAGCGCCACAGAAGTACCTGAACCGATCAATAACCTTGGAGGCGCTCAGCATGGGTCAAGTATTACTTTCTCATGAAGGAAGGAGTGGTTCCCTCGAACACGCTAATTTCACTCTAGCTGCTGAGAACTTCTGTTCAACTGCCGTTAGAAAACATATAGCGGAACGCTCGGTACTCGCGCCCCGTTAAAAGGCGGTTGTATGGACAGCTTTTCCTTCGGCGAAGCTACAACTGACACTGGTTTAGGTTCCTATTGAAGGATGCTTGAAATAACTTTATCTGAATATCCATTTTCACTCAGCGTATTCTGTATGAACCTCAGCACATTATCCTGGGTGCCCTTCAAGCACTCTAGATTAAACAGTAAATCAAGTTGCGCTTATATTTCAGAAGAAAGGAAATGTGGAATCCCTTCCACGTTGTACGTCTGTAGGTCTGCGTCCGAATGAAGCCAGGTTTTCTCCGCGTTAACGCAACATAAAAAGGCAGTAACGGATTTTTGGTTTAGTTTTACTAGATAGAATGCAGTGCTGTATCGGCTCCGTAAAGCTGCTAGGAATTTCATTTAACATAAGTTGTTTATACACATTTTCTACTTAGCGACCATAGCGGTCAACGATTTTCATCTCATCCTAGATTCCGGTAGCTTCAAATCTGCTATCAAGATATCCGCCAGTAAGGGACCGATATGAGATCCCACGGCCATGTCGCCTTATTGCGGTCGTACATTCTAATAGACAGGAACTGAACATTCTAGGTGCAGCGCAACAACAGGCTAGTAAGTTTACACAGAAATGCACACTTTTCCACCACAAAATCGCAAATCTGGAAAATGTTTTTCCATCAGCTGCATTCCGGTAAAAAGGGAGAAATAACAAAAGGGGACATTACTTCCTCAACTGTAGTATCTTTGCTATTTCAACAAAATGTAAGCCAGCACATAAGCTATAGGTAGTAGGATGATTTTGCATCAACTCAAGAATTTCTACAAGACACTGAGCGTCTGCAAAGTATGTAACAGTAACCCGCTAGGTCAGTGTTACGTGTTTCGCCCTTAGATATATTTTTAAAGACATGAAGATGAATCCTTTAAACAAAGGTCTAACATGATCCCGTCTCCTCGAAAACTAAGCGGAAAATTTCCGAACACTCAGAGTGATTTAGCCTCGATCGCCGTCATTCCTGCGCAATTTTCATTTCAATTCGGTCTCTTCATTTTGTTTATATATCCACTGTTAGCTAGAGAGTCTATCGGTTTATGTTAGAAGTACCTAAACACTAGACAAATCAGTGAAACGGCAACAACATTTCAACTATAGTCTTGGTGCCAGCTGTAACGCAAATGTTAGCCGTATTCCATGGTCACTGGAGCAAGACATTCGACAGACCTCAGGAGCCCAGCTGTAATGTTTTGGGCCGGCAAAAGTCGTGGTTGCTCAAAAGAGATTATGTTTAACTAGCCTGCATCAGCTTTGCTTCCCTTGAAGCCATGCTTGGTATATAAACCTTCTGTTTTTTAAGCCACTGTTCTTTTGGCCCATAAATCAAGTAGCATCGTAACTTAGTAACTTGATTTGCTGAAATTAAGGCAGAGGACCAAAAGAGTTGAGTTCCCTGATTTATGCTACGACTCTCCGACTTCAATTGACCTCAAGTTCTATTTAGAATGTTAGAACACTGAAAATTATGGATCAGTGGAGTTAGTAGGTTATTGAACTAACGTTAATTCAACCACTAATCCGATATACCCTGTATCAGCATTCATCGAAAATCACTGGCTGTCAAATAACTCCTCACTTCCCCCGTCTTTGTGCCGTATTTCTCAAAAATAGTTAGCGTCATTGAGCAGAAAATACTAAATAGCAACAAGGTAATAAATATATGTAGCGTATGCTTTCAGGTCGTTTCCAAAATACCATGAAGCAGGATAAAGAGATTGCTTATATATAACAATAGAGAGCAAACAACGAAGTCAAAATTTCATGTGTGGGCTTTTATTCCGCACAACCGGGTCAGTTGCAGGACGTTTCTACCCTTATTTCATCCATTCTTTAGCAAAGTAAAAAGCGTTCTCCGAGCGACTCCGAGTGCTGGACTGTTCAACATCAGAGGTTGGTGCGTAAAATGACGGTGCTGTTCAGTTGACTTGTATATCTTGTGCCCAAAACGTTATCGTGAACACCCTCATTGCTCACGTAGTAATTCTACGAGACTAAGTTAATCTGTAAACATGCCGGAGGTTGAATGCAACTAGCGTCTTTGCGTCTATCGACTTTATAGTCTAGCTTCCGCAAACGTACATCAGGGTCGTGCTGGTGCAAAATCGTAGACTCTAAACTTCAGGTCGAGCGTGATATTGTGCAGTCTTCAAAACTGGAAAAGACGTACAAATTGCAATGGATTTCACCGTATCCTTTTGACTTTATCATCCATTCCACAGTCCATGCCTAGTGCCAAACTAGTTGGTCGTTCAGTGCGAATTCTACTTGATCCCCACTGAACTTCAACATAGCGATTAGTCCCCTACAGTCTTGCTGGAATGCTTCACATTTCAGAGGTGCAAAGGGGGTCAGAAACGAAGAGCAGTCAGTGCGTGTAAGAAACTCCACAACGTATAATTTTAGTCCGGATAACGCAATTTTCATGAGTCGAACATTATTAAAGTGCAAAATCAACGGAAATGTTAGCATCCTTGTCTTAAATCGCTGGAAATAGATAAGGATGGCAACATTCTGCCATAAGCCCAAAATCAACCTCAACCACTGAAGCAGAAATCCGTTGTACTTTTTGCGCAGTTTTCTGGCACAGCTTTCCAAAGCAGATTCTTCAGAAAGATGCCTCGGTTCATCGAGTAGAACTTCACTTTCATGTTTATGGGCATAATTATGATGGTCAGCACTATAATTGAAGGTTTGCTGTGGATATCGTGGCTAATTTCATCAGGCGCCAATTGGATATACATATTGAGCAACTTATTACAAACAGTTCATAAAAGTCGTTCATCAAAAGTGCTAGAGATGAAGCGTATTTCGTTCCACCTCTACTGCATACACTTGCTTTGGGAATCATACAAACAATAAAACGAACAACTTCTTTTGAATCACTGGAACAGTGGTACTAAACAAGATAGCTATCAGGGAACCATGGCTGATGAAGCATTGTCGATTTTCAAGGATATGTAACAGTAGTATTATTGGGTACGCGAGCGCCACCTAAGGGCTAAGAGTGAAGTAGCGTGAGAACAGTGAGGCAGCCATGATATGACGTGGGAAGGTGGCACTAGTACTTTTGTCTGTGGTGTGAGATCCGATAGAAAAATTGTATAATGCAGATAAAAGCCGAATCTTGACAAGACGAGTTGGATGGTTAGGGCAAATGATATAAGTACACAAAGTCATATTACACTAGAGTGGAAAGCACTTCTGTGGACTCACCATAGTATCCAGCCTAACAAACGTCTATATCCGTCTAGCACAAGGTCTTTTGGGTTGGTGAGCCCAGTGTTTGCCTGTTTTGTCATCACTCGAGGATGGGAATTCAAACCAAGCGATGCAGATTGTGCACAGCATCTTGAATACTTATTTTAAAATGTGTAGCGTTGGTGCAGATTTAGCAAGTCGTAAGAGCGTTCCACGGCTGAAAAATTCGCATGAAAATTGATTCCGGC